GTTATAAAATTTACCCATGATTATGTTCACCATTTATTGATCTTGCTTGTCTGCTGGAATAGAAGATCAGCAAGGCTTTGTATGTTCGCTGCTGGGTCCCCAGCACCTAGCAGAGTGCCTGGCGCATAGTAGGTCGATATCGGCTGAATGAATAAGAGCAGCGAATGTGAACTCTGGGTCTGTCTTCACCCGGTGGCGACCTAGGTGGCAGACGTGGCCAAACGTGATTGTTTCCTCTTCCTCGCTGGCTTTTTCTTTTTTTCCTGTGCTTTCTCTCACTCTCCCCAACTACTTCCTCTTTCCCCTCTCTCCACTTTTTCTTCAGCAAAGAGTAATGATTCATGTCTGGGCTCTGGAGACAAGCGACTTGCTTCCATCCCTGCCCTGCCACTAACCAGCTATGACTCTTCTGAATCAAGCCATTCAGCTTCCATGCAATACCGCTCATGCATTGCCCCAGGTGGTAATAATAATTCTCCCTGCGCTGAGGTGGGGTGGACCAGGTGTGGCAGCCTGCAGGCAGTGATGATCCCATGTAAGGGTGGCACCTCGATAAGTGTGTAACCAGGATTAGCTCATTTAATCCCATGACTACGCCAGGAGGTGGGCGCTGTTGAGATGATCTCTACTGCATAGGTAAGGAAGAAGCCAGGGCACAGAGAGGTTAAGCAACTTGCCCAAGGCCACACAGCTATGTAACCTGGCTGCACGTTCTTAACCACTGGGCTCTTATAGCTGTTGTTTATCAACGCCTACTGATTAAGGACCTACCGTGTTCCAGGCACTGTTCTAGGAGTTGGGGATACAGCAATGAACAAAATAGACAGATTCCTGCCCTCGTGGAGACTTTTTCATTCCAGAGGAGGAAGAGAACGAAATAAAACAAGCAAATACAGGAATAATGTAGTGTTGGATGGTGGTAAGCATAATAGAGAAAAATAAAACAGGGCAGGGAGATGGGGGGATTGTGGGTGTGGTTGTAATTTGAGAAGGTTGATAGGAAGGAAGTCTTTGCTTTGAAGATGACATATAAAGAAGGACTTGAAGGAAGGGAAGGTGACCACATGGAGGTTTGGAGAAGAGTGGTTTAGCAGAGGGACCAGTAAGTGCAAAGGCCCTGAGGCAGGGGCAAGGCAGCAGGTTTGAGGAACACCTAGGAGGTGGAGCAGAGTGGGCTGGGGGAGCGGAGGACGCGAGGTCAGGGAGATGAGGGTGACCCACAGAGCTCACAGAGGGGGCTGTGGTGAGGACTTGGCCTTTTACTCTGAGTGAGGTGGGAACCACAGGAAATATGCTATACTTCATATAGCACACAACCCACTCGTGTAAAATGTACAATTCAATGGGTTTTAGTCTATTCACAGAGCTGTACAACCATCCCCACAATCAATCTTAGAACGTTCCGTCACCCCAAAAAGAACCCTTAACAGTCACTCCCGATTCTCTCTGCCCCCAGCCTAGGCAAACACTAACCTGTTTTCTGTCTCTATGGATTTGCCTGTTCTGGACATTTCATGGAAATGGAATCATACTGTATGCGGTCTTTTTTTTTTTTTTTTTTTCGGTACGCGGGCCTCACACTGCTGTGGCCTCTCCCATTGCGGAGCACAGGCTCCGGACGCACAGGCTCAGCGGCCATGGCTCACGGGCTCAGCCGCTCTGTGGCACGTGGGATCTTCCCGGACCAGGGCACGAACCCGTGTCCCCTGCATCGGCAGGCGGACTCTCAACCACTGCGCCACCAGGGAAGCCCTGTATGTGGTCTTTTGTAACTGCCTCTTTCACTTAGGGTAATGTTTTCAAAGTCATCCGTGTTGCAGCATGGATCAGTACTTCATTTTTAAATATTAAATAATATTCCATTGTGGGATATTTCACGTTTTATTTATCCATGTGTCAGTGGGGGGTATTTGGGTTGCTTCCACCTTTTGGCTACCGTGAAGAGTGCTGTCATGTACACATTTTTGTGCGGACACAGTTTTCATTTCTCTCATGTGTACCCGGGAGGGGAACTGAGGGGACTTATGGCAACTCTGTGTTTAGTCTTTCGAGGAGCTGTTTCCAGACTGTTCTCCACAGTGGCCGTGCCATTTTACAATCCCACCAGCAGTGTATGAGGGTCCCGATTTCTCCACCTCTTTGCCAACACTCCTACTAACTGTCTTTCGATCGTGGGAGGGTTTTGAGCTGAGGAGGAACGTCATCAGACGTCATCTGAACGTCTCTGACATGCACGTTGATAATATTTTACTATCATTAATCTTTCTTTTCCTTCTGCATCATTGTCTTGCCTCATCCTGGCAAAGCCTCTCTCTGAAACATGATGAAGTCTTTTCTCTGGCTTCTTAGGTCACCGCCCCCTACTCCCCCAGTGGATGTGACTCCCCACAGCGAGGTCACGGCTGGTCATGTGTCTCAGACATCCTTTCATCTCTGCTTTCTCTCTTGTCAAGTGACAGTGTGGCGTGACATGAGAACACTCTTGCCGTGGCCTTGGGGGCTCTCTTGGGTAAGCATCACGTACATTTGGACCTTGAAGACTTGAAAGTTAGATTGGGTGAGATGGTCAAGGCGAGCCAGTCCTTGCCGAGGGAAGCTGGGTATCAAAGAAGGGGGTGGCGTCAGGGCGAGCACAGACCCCAGATTTTAGTTAATTAGTTAATTCCCAAGAACTGCAAAAGTCAGCAAACATAAAACAATCCCCACAGCTGATAGCCGCTGAAGGCCTTAAGGAATTCAATGAAATTATATTAATTAATGAATGAGTTGGTTGATTAATTAAAGGTTAATTATGTCAAGCCTTTATTGAGTATGTACTAGGTGCCAGGCATTGTTCCAGGTGCTGGGGTTACATCCATTCGCAAACACAGACCAGCTTCTGTCTCTTGGGAGCTGGGGAGAGAAAGAAGTAAACAGATAAACGAATAAGACAATTTTAGATAAAACGGGGTGATCTGATAGAGAGTGACTGGTGGGTTGGGACTTTCATTTTGGACAGATTACACAGGGAAGGCCTCTCTAAGGAGCAGGCTTTGAAGTGAGACCTGCAGGAGGAGAAGGCATCAGGTGTGGGCAAGTGTATTCTAGGCAGAAGGAACAGCAAGTGCAAAGACCCTGAGGCTGGAAAAAGCTGGGGCTGTTTAAGGAACAGAAAGAAGGCCCAGAAGCCTGGGGTAGAGAGAACAAGGGGCAGAGGTTGGGACATGGGGGCAGAAAGGTGAGCAGAAGCCAGGTCAGTTAGGTCCTTGGGGCAGCAACAAGAACAGCTAGCCTCATGGTGCTCTCACCTTGGGGCACTATTCTACGCACTGGCACATCTTCCCAACTCATTGAATCCTTGCGATAGCCCTTGGAGAGAGGCTCTTATTATCCCCATTTGACAGGTGAACAAACTGAGGCACAGAACGGGCCAAGCCACTTTCCCCAGGACTCTAGGGTAGGAAATCCTGCAGCATGGACTTCTTGGAACCTCTCCCCATCTGACACCACAGCCGCCTCATCTAGCCACCTTTGCCCCAGCCATCTTGATCTAGGTCAGGGGTTGGCTCCCTGCTCCCGGTACCCTGGACAATGTCGGGTCTCCCAAGGGGAACACAATGCCAGGCAAGGCTCTCTGGCTAGTCACAGCAGGTGCCTGATAAATACTGACTCAGGCCAGGCTGTGTTGCTTAAGGGTGGGCCTGGGAGAAGGCTGCTTCCTTCCAGGGTTGAAGAAGAGTTTCAGAAGGCCTCATTCTGAGCCCTCAGGGACTGGCCTGCCTTACGCAGGGGATGGGGACACTGCCCTCCTATCCCTGCGTGGCCCCCACTAGAGACTGAGGGGACTGGTCTACATCAGGGATCCAGAGGTCCAGGTGGGGTGGAGGGCTGCAGCGGAGCACGCACCCAGGTTTCATTTTCTTGGAGCACTTATCTGCAATCCATCGTCCATTTGTTCACTTGCCAATCGTCTGTCTCCCTGTTCGTTAGAAAGCAGGGACTTGGGTTTGTTGACCTAACCCTCTGTGCCTATTTCCTTATCTGTAGAACGGAGTCGCTGTGGGCCAGGCACTTAGCACAAGGACCCCACCTAGAAGGCTCCTCGCCGATTCATTCTAAAATGTTCCTTGGGAGCAAGCGTTCCCAGCCAGGCAGCGCTCAAGCTTTGTCTGCCTGGAGCATTCTAGCGCCTGGCGATGGTCAGAACGCAAGAACATATGAACGTGGAACAGGCCAGGTGGTGGCCCGGTGATAAGGGTGAGGGGTGAGGGGAGAACTGGCCGCTATTTTATTTCACACAGGGTGGCAGGGAAGAGCCTTTCTGATAAGGTGGCGGAGCAGTCGTGAAGGAAGGAGCCGGGCAGATATCTGGGGGGGACAGAATTCCAAGTCGTAAGGTACAAGGTCCTGAGGCGGGAGTCTGCTGGGCTTGTTCCACGGAGAGAGAGGCTGCAATAGCATGTGTGTGCGCACACGCGGGAAGGTGTGTGTGGCGCCCTGGGGGGAGAGGAGGTCGCAGAGCTGGGGGCGGGCGCTCTGGAGTCCCTGCCAGAGTTGGGCAATTCGTACTAAATACGAACAGTGACGACGCTCAGGACAGAGGAAGTGGGAGGGGAGGAGGGGAGAAGAGGGGAGGAGGAGGGTCTGGGAGGCAGGGGGAGGAAGGAGAGGCGGGGGGGGGGACGAGGAGAGAGAGGAGGAGGGGGAGGAAGATGGGGAGGCGGGATCAGGGACAGGGGTGAGTGGGGAGCAGCTGGGAGTGAGGAAGGGGAGAAAGGTTACGAGGTGGAGGGGGTCCAGGCGCAACGTTGCACGTAGCCCACGAGAACTCCGCGCCTCCCTCCCGCGGAAACGGAAGCTAGAGCTTGGGGCCGGCGGGCGTGGCCCCGCCCCAATCGGACCATCTCTCCGCGCCCCGCCCCGGCCACGCCCCTTGCTAGCTTAGGCCCCGCCCCTCAGCCCCCGTCCTCTGGCGCCCGCCCAGATGCTGGCGCCCGCCCAGATCCTGGTGCCCAGGGCGTCCCGGGGGCGGTCCGCCCCGGCGATGGCACATAAAACCGCTGGCCACCTGCCGGGCCGCTCCTCCGTGCGCTGCGGTCCGGGGCCCGCCGTGCCGCTGCGGCCCGCGTCCGCGGAGTCGCTGCTTCAGTCACGTTCGTCCCCGCCTCGGTCCCTCCACAGGCGCGGAGCTCCGCGAGCACCGCGCGGGCGCCGGGGCGCGCAGACATGGGCAGCCGCTCTAGAGCGCGCCGGGTGGCCGCGGCGCTGGGCTTCGCCGGGCTGCTGTGCGCCGTGCTGGGCGTTATCATGATCGTGATGGTGCCCTCGATCATCAAGCAGCAGGTCCTCAAGGTGGGTGAGGGGCCCGGCCGGAGGTCAGTGCATGCGGGCCCCTCAGGGGCTGGAGGGCGCTGGGCGCCGAGGAGGGCCGGGTGTCCTGGGCCGGGGCCCCTGAGCACCGGAGAGCCCAGAGGGCATGAGGAGGGGCAGCAGGCCACCTTCCCAGGAACCTCCCCGACCCAGGACGCAGGCTGAGTTTGGGGGCCAAGGAGGGCATCCAGGGCTTTTGCTGGAGGTGCAGGCCCGGGTTGGGGAAGCCTGAATTAGAGACCACCTGGGAGGCTGACCTCACCCTAAGGGTCTGGGGTCCGAGGCGGTCCTGGAGTGTGGCCACGTTTCTGGTACTGCCTGGAGGAGCCCAGGAGCGGGCTCACATGCTTCTTGCCTCTTCTGTGGCAGCCTGTGACAGTGTGTGGTAAAACTAGGGCTGCACTTTGCTTGTTTCCTGTGAGCACAGGAGGACAGGAACCCTCCATGCACGTGCCCGTGAGACTCACATGGGTGCCCAGGCTGGTGGGTGCTCAGGACAGCGGTCTCTGCTGTCCAGAGCCTCCCTATGCAAACCCCTTCTCAGAGGCAGAATGGGCTGCTCTGTCCTTCCCGGACGCTGCCTTCCTGATGCAGATTGGCAGCGATAAGCCGCTTTTCTCCCCAGATCCACACAGAGGCAGGCATAAGCCCAGGGCTGCATAAGCAGGGTCCTCGGGGAGTCCACAGCCTGAGAGCTTTCCTGCGATCCTAACCTTATCCACCACTGCCCTTTCAACCAGGGAGACAAATGAGGCTGTCAGCTGGCCTTCAGACCGTCAGACTCTGCCCTGGGTGTCTGGCGGCATTTTTGAATGAGCCTGGAGTCACTGAAGGACAGGGAGATTGCAGAGTATCACGCTTGAGGTAAAAGCATTCAGCTCTTTGAAGGAAAGGCCAGCACCTGCAGGGCCGGGAGGGGAGACTGAGGCTCACCTTGGCCCAAGATCCAGCCAGACACATAAAGATGTGGCTGTCATCACTTGCTAGTTGATTTCTCTTTTCCCCTTAACCGGCTTCTTTAGGCGAGTTTCTTGAGAACGGGGACTTGTCCCCATTTCGTGTCTGTGCCCCACGCCCAGCGCAGGATGCCTGGGAGATGAATGAATGAGCGAATGAATGAAGGCTGCATCTGCGTGGACCTGGCTGCCAGGTTTTGGCTTTAAAGATGGAGCAAGTTTGGTTTTTCTCGAGGTCTCTGGGTGAGCGGTTGTCTGAGTCATCTTGGCCACACTGTGTCCTTTGTTTTGTTGTCAAATCTTGTCCCATTAAATCCTGTAATCTGATTGCAAGGAGATCCTGGCCGATGGTGACATTGAGCTGCGAGTTTCTCTTAGTGTTTTTTTTTTCTTGCCCGTGAAGTGGCGGGAAAAAGTTTCTTGGGGAAACCTGAGAGCGGCCAGAACTGCTTCTTTCTCTCCCGTGGTGGCCAACGGGTGTATCTGTTTTGCTTTTCAAAGTAGCTGTGAGAGCTTTATCTCAGTGAAAGCCGGCCGTAAACGCCCGCCAAATTTGTGGTTTCTGTACTGTGTGAGCCCTGGAGAGACCATCACTTGGGTGCTGTAAGCGTGGCAAGCCCGTCGTGATCCCGTGCAGAGAGCCTGTTGCTTTGGGGGTGTGGGGATGAGTGGGATTTATAGCTGATGCAGAATCTTGTCAGTCCAGTCCTTCTTGGACTATAATTCAGGTGTTTTCTTTTCACGGCTCTCAATCAGATGAAGGATGTCTCTCTCTCTCTCTCTCTCTCTCTCTCTCTCTCTCTCTCTCTCTCTGTGTGTGTGTGTGTGTGTGTGTGTACATGCACACCCGCACGCCCTACCTAATTTCCCACTCCTCCTCAGGGCTTCCAAAGAGGAAAGCGCCACCGTCCTCAGTCGTCCCGGAACTAAGATTTCTGGGCTTAAACTTGAGTGAGAGCCAGCCAGCGTCCTCCGTGAATATCCCAAAGGTGATTGGTTTGTGGCTGAGTGGCGTGAAGGCACGGAGGCGAGTCCAGCCTGTGACAGTTTCTTCTTGGACAGCTCAGGCTGAGCCCTGGCCAAGAGCCTTCCCTTGGAAGAAGGGCATCTGTGTTCAGGGGACCGAGTGGGTGGGATGCTAGGAGAGGGAGGGACGGCCTGCTGGTGTTTTCTTTGGCTGCACGTGTCCATGTGCAACTTGAATGGGAGGGCTTGTGCTTTGATTTCTACTTTTTTTTTTTTTATGCTTTGGGGTTAAAGAAGTCCGTGTATATAAAATACATGGATTCTTGTTTGTAAAAAAAAAAAAAAAATTCAAGTGGAGGGAAAAAAAGGTTCCCCCCATTTTATTCCCCTCCTGGGATAGTGCCACTGTCATCCGAGAGTATCTTTCTAGATTTTTATGGAGATACACATCACAAGCATGATTTAGACACATTAATATATATATATTTACATATATTGAACTATAAACTACATCGAAATAGCCTGCAGTTTGCTTTTCAATGCACAGATATCACTTGGGAATTTTTCCACGTCAAAACATTTAAATCGGTCACACTTTTCACTGCTGCATAGTATTCCTTTGAATGGCTGTACACTTAATTACTTACCCGTTTGTCCGTTGACTGATAATTTTCTCATACATACTTCTCTGTGTACCTGGACGAACATTTCCACCGGGTACATTTCTAGAAGAGAAGCCTCTAGTCCAGATGGTGTGTCCAGTTTGCATTTGGACACAGACTAATGGCCCTTCTGAAGACTGAGGGCATTTACAGTCCCATCCACAGAGTATGGAACTAGTCACTCCCTCACATCTCTGCCATTATTGGGATTACCGATTTCTTATTATAATTTTTTTGGGGGGGTTAATCTGATGTGTGTGATTTACATTTCTCGGGTTACTGGTGGGGTTGCGTAGGGGTGTGGCTCGTTTTGAAACTGATGTCAGTTTCCAGAGCTCAGGGTTTGCAGACCTGGCTGTGCCACTTGCTGACTGGGGGCCCCAGGCCAGTTACTTCACCTCTGAGCCAGGGCATGTGTCTTCAGCTCTGAGGCAGGGGGTGGATTTAGTTTGTTTCCTGGCAAGATGATAAAGTACAAAGGCGGTGACCTGTGTGTGAAACTGCTCCGGAGGTACCCGGTTTACGCAGCTCGTGGCAGTTTCGGGAGGAATCCTGACCGCCAAATCTGGTCTGCGTTTCAACAGGGGCATAGGAATTAAAGCAGGAGTGCTTCATCCAGTGGAGTTCTAGGTAAAAGTTAGAGAGAAGGAGCTAGATATTTACGTCTGGGCACAGAAAAGTAGGAAAAACACATTACTAATTGAAAAAAAGCTTTGAGGCTACTCGTGTTAAAAAAAAAACGAAAAAAACTCCAAAAAACCTCCACAAAACGATACTCTGTCTTTTCACTGGGTTTCCATCAGTGCATGTAAAAGCACAGAGAAAGGTGTGGAAGGGTGTGCACCAGACTGACGAAAGTGGTTACTCTCAGGGGACTGGGGGTGTGGCAGGGGGAATATTTATGCATTATCTGGAAGACTCATACTTTTTCTTTGTAAATAAGGAGAATGTATTCACGTATTGTGTGTTTAGTTAAAACTTAGTAACGAATCCATAGCTTTCCCCAGAGAATGGCCAAATGAGTTAGATGAAGAATGCAGGAGGCACACAGTGGAGGGGCCCTGGAGACAGAGGTCGCTGGGAGAGGCCCTGGGGGAGAATGAGACTCATTTCTTCTCCTTTCCCCCAATGGGTGGGGCTGGACAAGAGGCGTTCAGACCGAATGCACTCTGGAGTATAATCGAGGATGACTGTGCGCTAGGCATCTTTGTAAATGTTGATCATCTCGTTTAGTCCTGGGAGAATTCTGGGACACACATCTCACTGTCATCATCCACAGTTAGGGAAACAGAAGTTTAAGAGAGTAATTTGCCCAAATTACCTTGCTGGTGTGTGTGTGTGTGTGTGTGTGTGTGAAAAAATCCTGAGGCAAACCCCAGGAGGACGGGCGCTCTTATATCCACAGCCTAGAACAGAGCCTGGCATGCGTGGCCCTCTGTGTTTGCATGGACCAGGTCCCTGGGCGTGTATTTCCAAGTTACTGGGTGTCTCTGGTCCACCAGGGAAGGCCCCGCTGGGCCACAGGGGAATGGGTTCGTTTGCTGGGCCACCATGTGCAATGATGGGCCTGGTGGCCTTCTCCACGGCCGGGGGTAGGGGGGGAAGCTGAGTCCCCCTCTGCTGTCTTTTATGTTTTCTAGTGGGAATCAGCCTTGGGTGCTATATCCGTGAATTTTTCCAGCTGCCAAAGTCTTCTCCCATCCATGTCCCCATCTCAATAAGTGATATCTCCATTCGTTCCCTCCAAGGGTAGAGGCAAAAACCTTGGGTCATCCTTGACTGCAGGCTTTCTGTGATACCCCTGTATCTGGTCCATCGGCAAATCTTATCGGCTTACCTTCAAAGGCATATCTGCATACTGACCCCTTCTCAGCGTCTCCACCACTCTGCCCTCCTCCATCCACTGCTTGGACTATTGCAATAGTCTCATCTCTGGTCTCCATAGACAACCGGATCATGTGCCCCCTCTGCTCACAACCCACTGAGGTTTCCCGTGTCACTCTGAGTGAATACCAAGGTCATTTCAGTGGCCTGAAGTCCCCCCGCCACCATGCGGCCCTCCTTCCCTCTGTCGCTGCACCCCCTCCTGGCTCCTTTGCTCACCTGCCATGCTTATCTCTTTGAAGTCCTCGAACCCAGCAAGCCTGGTCCCACCAAACTCTGGCTTGCTTTTTCTACTGCCCGGAAGGCTCATCCCCAGATATCTGTACAGGTCACCCCTCATGTCCCTAAAAGTCACCCCCTCATGTTATATGTTGATTTGTGCATTCTCTTTCTGCCTCCTGAGCCGGGGCGTGGGCTGTCCTGCCGCTGTCCCTGCAGTGTCCCCAGGACCAGAGCAGTGCTGGGGTTCACAGTAGGATGGTGGGATGGGCGGGCGCTGTGTGCTCTGAGGTCG